AATTGTGTTCACTAAAAACTAACAACGAGCAAAGAAAACGTAAAGAATTATGAGAAATGCCCAATGCAAACCAAGCGTTTTGTAATAAACTAATCGTTAAGTATAAACTATCCATATAATTTTCTTCAAAAAAGGGTGTATTTATTATTGTATTTTTTTTACATTTTTTACGATACCGGGATATACGTATTTATAACAAATGCTTCTAATTATTTGTTCATTAAAAATAATGTATTATTAATAAACACGTATTGTATCTATGTATATAGTGTATTTCTATTCACAATGTGTTTTTTTTTTCGAATACATATTTATAATAAAATAGTAAAACAGTAAATAATTAACATTCGTAAATCAATATATAAATAAATAGAGAGAAATAAATAATTGGTAACCAGGAATGTAATTATATTTGTAATGTACGACCGGTTTTGAATTGAAAATTTATCATAAATTAATTTTATAGTCGCGATTTTATTGACATTGAATAAACTTTTGTGTATACATTTTTAATAAAAAACCGATCATACATTAAAAATATAATTATACTCCAAGCTAAGTATTTATTTACTTCTTTATGTAAACTATTAATTTGTAGTCATACATAAATAATCAAGAACCATCACTACATGTTTATTTGATAATATATTTTATAGTAATAGTTATATATTCACTAACCATTTCGAATATATGATGTCTGAGCTATAATCAAGTAGCTGGATAGCAACATTCCTGCAGCGATGTGAAGACGATTGTGAACACCAAATATTGTTCCCATATTCTGTAAAGAAAAAATAATAATAAAATTATTAAAATAAACATTGACATTTTTTGATTATAATCTAAATATTAAATTTTTGAAATAAATATGAAGGTAAACATGGTAAATTGTTAGTACTTAACAACTTACATAAGTATACCACTGTACGAATGTTATTATATTTTCTTTGGTGTTTTGTATATTTTTTTAAATCCTTAAATATCTGTTCAACACGCGAATCCACAATATTGTTTATAACGTATTTTTTTTTTGCTATCCACAAAAAATCTTTAAATTGTAAAAGTTTACACGATTTAACTATAAATAAATCTACAACAAGAATTTAATACGTACGTAAATAAAAATATTAGGTCAAATTAGGTAACGAAGAAAAAA